GGCATTCCTTTTACCACATGGAAAAGCTCTGACGGATGAGAAAAAAAGATCAGTTCACCCCATCCCTGCTACAGGATATATTTTCGGTTGAGCTCTAAACCATGTTTGATTGTGTTCACTAGAAGTTTTCCTCCATTTGTAGTCTGGCTGTCATCCTGGCTGCTTTGTTCCTTGGAGCCCCATCATATACCCGAGAGAGACCTGAGCTCTGGCTGAAGAAGGGGAAGGCGTCTAGGAGTTATCGTCCATGTAAGTTTGCTGTTCCATGAATCCGTAAGAGCTACAGCAGAATAATTGGCATAGTCAGCTCAGTATTTCCCAACGGCCATCATCCCAATTAGTTTACTCTATAGGGACTGACTTTCCTAACAGTGCCTCCACTGCTGTGTTGGACAAAAGGGAATTGTCAGTCCAAACCTTACTGTAATGATCCATCCATGACAAAGGAGTTTTCAGAGGCTCCTACACCTCTGGATTACTCCCCATATCCTTTAGTACTGAAAGCCAGCCGTGAAGTCTGACCTGCCCAAAGCCACCGTGCTCTCTGCTTGCAAGCTTCCACAGACATGTGGTTAGCCACTGTTAGAATCCCAAGACCAGGTGATGAGGACTACAGGTCTGCTCCACCTGACCATTTTGTAGGTTCCTATTCTGTCTGTAAACTGGTGACGTAGGCTAGGGTAGCTTGAGAAATATTTGCGTAGATCATGTCTGTGGATGGAAGAGTTTCTGCCTGTGCAGCATGTCTTTCTCGTCTCCCCCCCCTCCCGCTGCAGCCCCAAGTGCCCCCTCCCCCAAATGCTGATCCTGGAGCTGCAGCAGGAGGGGGTAGGTGAGAAAATTATGTAGCTTCTTCCCTAGAAATGATGAGGAGCACAGAAAGTGGTCGTTCAGGCCAAATCTACTGCTTACCCAAAGAACTGGTGCTGCAGTTATCTTGCTTCCTGGCCTCTCTGCCAAGTGGCCTCTGCCTGGCATCCAACGGAGCTCTCTGTGCTTCAGAAAATTCCACAGCTACGCCTTGGAATGACTCGGGCCTCTGAAATCATATCAACAGTCCTGTTCATAATGAGATCTATGCACAGCAATGGATTATGATGTCCTTTGTGGGTATGACAGCTCACACAGGTAGGAAAATTAGCAACAACTGATGTGTGAGATGAGAGAGAGCTAGCTTGGACTGACAACATCGTTAGCTAGACCACTGGTCTGACTGAGAGTGTCTATGGATGTTCTAAGCACGGTGAGAGGGACCACCAAGTTTTAGAAAATCTAGTGTACCTCCCCTTGGAAGTGCTCCAGAGGTAAAGAAAACATATGCATTTCATGGGGGGTGGGGTGAAACACATGGGATCAGTTTTGAGCATTCTGAACAAGCATGGGAAAGAAGAAGCTGTGCTTCCCCTCCCCTGGCTAACTGAAAATGTCACATTCTTGGCAGAAGGTGCCTCCTTTATAAATTTCAGGAATACAAGCAAGACGAGTAGGTGTGCAAATGATGTTCAGTCAGCTCACGCTACCCACTGTAGGCCCGAATTGCCAGTGATGTGTTTGGGGGGTTTCCCCTTACTGTGTGGATTTAGCAACCGAAACTTAGCCAGTCATCTGATACAATATTAGCCATTTTATGCAGAAACTGGAACTCCAAACTTTGCAACTATATATCAGATTTGCAGATCATAGTGTTTTGTTTTTGTGTTTTTGGAACGGCATGCCTTGGTGTCCAAACTGCAAGCCAATCAAGAAGTATAAAAAGAATTTTCCTGGGTAATAAGGAAATGTATATTTGGGAGGAGGAGGAGGAGACTGGATTTATACCCCTCCCTTCACTACTCGAAGGAGTCTCAGAGCGGCTTACAATCTCCTTTCCCCTCCCCACAACAGACACCCTGTGAGGTTGTTGGGGCTGAGAGACCTCTTTTGAGGACTGCCCTTGAGAGAACAGCTCTGAGAGAACTTGTGACTGACCCAAGGTCACACCAGCAGCTGCATGTGGAGGCCTGGAGAATCAAACCCAGTTCTCCCGGATTAGAGTCCACACTCTTAACCACTACACCAAACTGGCTCTCAAGAAAGTGCTAGGTGTGTTTTTGGTGGGCCTTTGCTAGCAACTCAGTCACAAGTGATTTAACTGATTTCTGCTACAGGAAGCGGATGCATGGAAGCCCAGAGCAGTTTTCAAGTGAGTGAGGGGGAACAGAGCAAATCCTTTTTCTCTTTATAGCTGCAGCAGTAGCCAATCAGAATCTCAGGGATGCCAGCCTCCAGGTGGGACCTGGGGATCCCCCATGATTACATCTCATCTCCAGATTACAGAAATCAGTTCTACTGGAGAAAATGGAAGCTTTGGAGGATGGGCTTTGTGGCATCGTACCCCTCTGAGATCCCTGTCCTCTCTAGGATCCATTCTCAGATCTCCAGGCATTTCCCAGCCCGGATCTGCCAACCCTAAGGGTCACCACCAGTGGCTGGGGGGCCTGGTGACCCTTCAAGAAGCTCCATGGGCTCACATGGCCAGTCAAAAAGAAATAGTCGCACTTCTTCTGGTCCTCTATTGCAGCTTCCTCTTGAATCACCCCGTCATGCCCTACAGAGCTCAGGCTACAAGAAATTTACAGAAAACGTAGAGAGGTGTGACAAAGGGACACTTTTAATTCACAGGAATACTTTCCCAACTCCTCTACCCTAAAGAGAAAGGGGACAAAGTTAATATGCAGGCTTACTGCGGCTGCGCTATGAACCACTTGCTTACCCTGGGGTCCTTCTTTCCCTTTCTCAGATGTACAACAGGTACCCCAACAGAGGCAGACAGTTTCATAGGGTTGCCAACTTTGGCTTGGGAAATTCCTAGTAGTTTGGAGGTGGAGGCTGGGGAGGACAGAGGTTGGGGAGGAGCCTCAGTGGGCGATAAGGCCATGGAATTCACCACCCCAAGCAGCCGTTTTCTCTACGCACTCTCACCTGCTCCTCTGGCTGTTCGCCTTCCTGCCGCCTCAGAATGAAACCTTCAGCCAGGGCCACTGCTTGGGCGCAGGTCTCAGGGCTGCGTTCCCTGACCTGGCTCTGGATTTCCTGAGGCAGGATGTTCAAGAACTGCTCTAAGATCAGCAGCTCTACGACCTGCTCCTTTGTTCGACTCTCCGGCTCAAGCCAGCAGTGGCAGAGTTCCCTCAGTCGGTTGCAAACCTCACGAGGCCCCTCGGCCTCCTGGTAGCAGAACTTCCTGAAGCGCTGGCGATGGATCTCTGTGCTGGTGGCGTTTCCTTGCAGGAAGGCAGCTTTTACTTTCCCGTAGTCTGCTTTGTCTCTAGGAGTCAGGTTGCTGAAGGCTTGCTGGGTTTCCACACTGAAGGCCGGCATGAGCTGGGCCACCCCCTCTCCTCTAGGCCAATGGCAGGCACCAAACACTCTCTCAAAATGCACCAGGTCATCCCAGGAGGCCAGTTCTGGCAGCTGTGGGTTTCCCCATCCCACAGAAGGGGACTGAATGGTCTTCAGGAAATCCTGCCACTGAGATTCTAGATGGTGAGGGATGCCCTCCTGTCGTGCCGCCACCCAGCGAGGTAGTTCCCTGATAGCCCCAGAATGAATAGCAAAATTGTCTCTTCTTGTTCCCTCCAATCCTTCTCCTGGAGCTAGGCGTTCTGGTGCCTGCTTCTCCATTTTCACTGCTGGACTCTCCCACTTGCCAAGCTTTGCCTCAACTTGGAGACCCAGGGCTGCCAGCTCTCACAGCTATTCAGTCATTTTCTCTCTCAGGTGACATAACATCCCCTTTCTTCTACTTGTTTCCTCACCTAGAAGTCTCCTTTTATTTTCATTTGGGTACCTTGATCCTGCTGCTGTGAATACAAGACCCCCCACAGGTGGCTCCCCAGTACACTGGATACTGTACCTAGCAGGAGTTCCTGTTCTTGTTCCTGAGGGGAAAATAAAGAGACAACATGTCACATATCACACTGGTGTCTCGCTGTACCTCTAAGGCACCCAACAATGTAATTTAGAGAATGTTTTCCCTATTTTCTTCATGGCAAACCAGTGAGATGGCCTAACAGTTACCTCCAAGCCAAAGGTCACCCAGTGAGTTTCAAGGTTGAATAGGGATCTGTGCCTAGGTCTCCCACTCTATCCAATGGTCTAATCAGCATTGCTTCATTTAGTTTACAATCTAAGCAAAGACGCCAAAGGCCCTAACACACTTAGATATCCTGAGGCATCTATCCGGCTGAGGCAGTGACTAAGAGGTCAGGTCAAAGGCTTCTTGGGAAGAGATGGGTTTTAGAGTTTCTCAGGCATTTCCACACTTTAGAGTGTGTATTTTTAATGGGGGAGGGCTCACAGGTGTATACTAAAGACCCAAAGCTACTAACACCTGTACCTAGGGCTGCCAGCGTGTGAGGGGGTGGGAAACCTGCCTACCCATCTACTCTTCATTTGATAGGCAGAAATCAGCAAGTGAAATATTTCATGTCATGGAGCTAAAGATTATGGCCTGCTGACTACTACAGATCAAAGTGCTGTTTGTGCCAACAAGGCCAAGTTTGGCCTTAACATGCCTCTCTCTGGTAGCCCCAATAGCAACTGGGGAAATAATGGGTTCAGCACAAACACTGTGATCTATGCAAAGGAACACCTGCCAGTCCCCTGATATGAAGCACCCACCTTATAGTGTGATAAGTTCATGGGTCTGAATTATAATTATTATCTAATGGATTACCCTATTACTGTTAAAGATAAGAATGACATGGGATAAAGGCACCAGATGCATAAGTGACATGAAATCTGCCCACCATAATTCAAAAGCTCGCATGTTTTACAAATTCCTTAAGTGAAATTTCCCTCAAATTTATTTCTTCACTAAGAATATTGGCATACTTAGAGTATCCAGAGAAACACATTGAATTTAAAAGCAATGATTCTTTACATCTGAATGTTTAAAAGACTTATTTTCCCCTTGAAATTCAAGTCTTGGAATACAAACTGAGGATTTAAAGTCAACATTTGATCTTTCCCCCCTCCACAAAATTCTCCAACATTAATCTACTTTGTCCCCCCAAATTCTACACAGGGTGAGAGACCAGTGTTCCCTCTAAGTTGAGTTCGTGTGAGCTAGCTCACAGTTTTTTAGCCTCCAGCTCACACATTTTTGTCTTAGCTCAGGAAGGATGTCTCCAGAGCAAACTAATTTATGCAGTAGCCAAATCACTCGCTGACAACTTTAATGCCAGTAGCTCCCAAAGTAGAATTTTTGCTCACAAGACTCCACAATTTAGAGGACACATTGGGTGAGACTGGGAGTAGATTTTGGGCTTGAGAGCTCCTTCCCCCTCCCGTATGGGTACCAATCTCCAGATGGGACCTGGAGTTGTCCCAGAATTACAACTGATCTCCAGACTACAGAGATCAACCCTCCCAAGGAAAATGGCAGCCTCAAAGGGAAGACAGGATGGATGTCCTAGAGTGACATTGAATCCTTGCTGAGCTCCTTCCTCTTGCACTCCCCTCAAATCTTCAGGAATTTCCCAGACCTGAATTGGGAACCCTAACCTCCCCATCAGAGGAAGAAAGCAAGAAGTAATATGAAAAATTTCATGTCTATTTGAATATGGGATAGAGGCAATCCAGAAGGTTTTTCTAAGCAAACCCTCTGTACTTTGCGCACCAACCAAGTATGGCAGTTACTTTCTAGCTCACCAAATATACATAAAATTACTTGATTAAGGCCCCGGTCACACGGAGATTTTGCCACGCGAAAGGCACGAATGTCAAGTGGATTTTCAGGGCGTGATCACACCGCAACATCTGGGAAGCGTAGCACACCCATGGCCAACCCGTGGCATCCCACCGAAGATGTGGAGTTAAAAAGTACCAAGAAAAGTGCACTAGTATCCGGAAAATGCGCGGCACAGGCAGGCATCCCACCGAAGATGTGGAGTTAAAAAGTACCAAGAAAAGTGCACTAGTATCCGGAAAATGCGCGGCACAGGCAGGCATCTGATTGCAGGAGTGCTAGTATCTCATGGCATCCGGCGCCCATCCATGTCCCGTCGCAAACTGGATGTTTTTCGTAAGCGCATGCGCACAAACACGCAATTGAAAGCAGTGCTGCTCTGCGGAACAGCGCATGTGCACAAACGCGACATGCTTGTGTGGTCACGCCACGCCGCTTCTTTGCCATGCTGCAGCATCGCCGTGTGATCGCCAGCTAACAGCCTAAGCACAGAGACTCGAGGGACCATGTCATCGGGCTACCGCACTTTATTTTGCTCCGGGGCGAGTAGCCCCCCCCCGCGTTATCTGGCCCATGTGACCGGGGCCTAAGAATAGTGATTATTTAGTTTGCATCAGCAAAAGCATACTGTCCAAAATATATTAAGTAATAGCATTCTTTTTCTGGAACAGTGTGTAAGAGATGGAACTATGAATCAGAAGGTCCTTGGTTTGAATCTCACCTCTGCTGTGAACTCACTAGGTGGCTCTAGCAAGCTATTTTTTTTTCTCAGTCTCAACTTCATATCTGCAACATGGCACCAGAATAACACAGACCTACTTTGGGTACTCAAAAGTATATGCCAAGTATTAATAATACAGTTTGTGAGCCAGTAATAATACGGTTTGAGAAATGAAACTGCATTCATGTAATTCTAAATGTCTCAGAACAGATGCCACAGAAAAATAGCGAAAGGATCTGAGATGCATTTACTGAATTTCTACCCTGCCTTTCTCCCTAATAATAGGAATCCAAAATGGCTTACATTTTCCCTTTCTCCATTTTATCCTCAGAACAACCCTGTGAGGTAGGTTGGGCTAAGAATGTGTGACTGGTCTAAGTCATGCAACAAGCTGTCATGGTAGAGTGGGTCTCTCAGATCTACAGTGACACTCTAACCACAACACCACATTTTCTTCAAGGTAATGGTTGTGGGGCAATTACAGAGTAGGGATGGAATTCCAGATTTCTCCCCTGTAATGGGATTAAATTTTTATTCTCCAGAAAGGCTGGCAGATAGGTTTTAAAAAAAAAGACAGAATCTAGACCATACAAAAATGAGACATTGTACCCGCCCTGGCCTGGATAGCCCAGGCAAGCCCAATCTTGTCACATCTCAGAAGCTAAGCAGGGCCAACCGTGGCTTGTATTTGGAAGGAATACCAAGGTCCTGACACAGAGGCAGGCACCTCGGAACGTCCATTGCCTTCAAGGCCCACTAGGGGTCGCCAGAAGCTTGACTTGATGGCAAAAAAATGGGATATGGTACCTAGCTACACACCATCTGGGTAGATAGCAAAACTGTTAAAAGCTATAGCTAGTTCTGCTACAATAGAAAAATAAGAAAAGCTATTAAGTTCTAAAAACAACAGATAAACACTTGTCATCTTTATATGAAGATGTTCAAACTGACGGTATTATAATTGCTTTCCCCCCTGATTTTTGTGATTGCTCTATTCAGGCCATAAACTTTAGGCTATGGTGGACTACGGGTTATGACGATTAACTGCAATTACTGTTTTTACCATCTCCGATCAGGATTCCTGCTTTTGTGCTCCAAGTGAGTGATGTTTCTGGATTTCACTGATACAATAAATCAATTGTAGGATTTGGGGGTTTGTGTTAAAGCAGGTCTATTTTTCATTTATTGCATTAACCTCACACTTCATTTATTTATTTATTTATTATATTTATACCCCACCCTCCCCGCAAGTGGGCTCAGGGCGGCTTACAAGGGAGCCAAGCTTTCTTCCACCAAGCAAGCACTTCCAGGGATGTACATCGAGTTTCCAGTGCCGCTTAGCTTCAGAGATGCGCTGCTGACAATTCCCTAGCCATAGGACCACTGATCAGTTATGTAGAAGTTTATCATTGATAGTTCCCAAACACACTTGCAGAGACACAGATGGTGCTCAAAGTATATACCAAAATGGTTTCAAAAAGACTTCACTCCTGTCGTGGGAATGGGGAACCCGGTGCAGAGTGGGCCAAATTGTAGCTGTCTGACTTGGGGGAGAGCCAGATTTGTGTAGAGGTCAAGTGCGTGGTACTCTAATCTGGGAGAACCAGGTTTGATTCCCCTCTCCTCCACTTGCAACTGCTGGATGACCTTGGGCAAGCCATAGTTCTTTCAGAGCTGTTCTCTCAAGGGCAGTTCTCAAAAGAGCTCTCTCAGCCCTGCCTACCTCACAAGGTATCTGTTATGGGAAGGAGAAGGAGTTTGTAAGCCGCTCTGAGACTCCTTCGGGTAGTGATGGGTGGGGTATAAATCCAATTTCTTCTTCAAATTTGGCTTAGTAACATGGGCAGGTACAGTGCGTTCCTGGATATTCCACTGGTAGGAGGGGAAGAGACTGATCAGGGGGGTTCCCATCTCAGAAAGAAGCACTGGGGAGGGGGGTGAGTGGACCCCTGCTAACAATTTTCTGGAAGACACACCTTTTTACCAGGAAGCACTGACCCCTCCCTGCATCCCAACCATGTTACAGCTGGTTGTGATTACTCACTAGAGGGGAGGATTCACTCTGTACATGCTCATACACGTTCTTTACTAGGTCTCAGATTCTGTGCAGAATTCTAGTGGGTCCTGTGTTCAAATTAAGCCCAGCTTGGCCAGAGGCCTCTGAAGGGTCAGTTTGAACTCTGCTTGGCCATGAAGAATTTGACTAACCAA